CTCCGAACACATCGCAAGGAAGTGTCGAGCGGGAGCCGCTGTCGCCGTCGCTGGAACTCCACGAGCTTGCGTGAATTGCGATGATGTCTCGAGCCAGAGCGCCGTTCCTGGGCTTCGAGGCCTTTCTGGCCAGGGCCCGTCGGAATACATTTCGAGGAAATGTCGAACGGGAGCCGCTGTCGCCGTCGCTGGAACTCCACGAGCTTGCGTGAATTGCGATGATGTCTCGAGCCAGAGCGCCGTTCCTGAGCTTCGAGGCCTCTCTGGCCAGGGCCCGTCGAAGCAAATTTCGAGGAAGTATCGAGCGGGAGCCGTTGCCGTCGTAGCCGGGCCCACAAAGGCACACATACACAATCACGCCCCCGCTCGAGCGGGAGCCTCGTTTTCACAGAAAATGAGGCCGGCGTCGAGGCGAGAGCGCCCGGGCAACTTTCCGGAGATCAACAATACTTCTTCTCTAGAAATGAATATTCAACTGCACCAGCAACAACAACAACAACAACAACAACAACAACAACAACAACAACAACAACAACAACAACAGCAACAACAACAACAACAACAACAACAACAACAACAACAACAACAACAACAACAAGAACAGCAACAGCAACAGCAACAGCAACAGCAACAGCAACAGCAACAAGAACAAAACTGAAGGATACCCCTCGAAGGCCAGGGTTGCTGCTGGCCCTCGTGCCAGTTGCGCACGCCGACCCGAGGCTCGGGACGGGCCCGACTAAGATCGGTGTGGGCGCCTGGTTCCTACAACCATTGATCGGCGGCGAGCCCGGGGGGGAAGTGAGAAGGAGAAGGCCTTCTCAGAAGGCTCGGAAGTCCCCCCGGCCTTCTGAGAAGTTTCCTGAGCCTTCCAAGAAAACACCGATAACTTCTGAGAAGGCGCGAGGGCAGTTGAGAAGCCCCGCCGCCTTCTGCGACGGCCTTCTACTTCTCACTTCCCCCCCTCGCACGCCGCCGAACAACCATTGACCAAAATCAGCCTCAAAAGTTGTTGACGCGCCCCTGCGATGTTGCCCGTTTCGCCCCATCAATGTCGCCCCCGCCAAGGTCGAAACAGAGCGGATCGCGGTCTGGGCTGGCGCGATTCGGAAGGTCTGCGATGACCAACACTGGGGAGGGGGCGCCAACGAGCACTTCGCACACCATGCCACCCAGACCCAGGAACATCAGATACAAACGATTAATTTCATCGCGCACGTCTGAGGTCAATGTTGTCGAGGGTGATAGCTGGCGCCCCACCACCAATCCATCCGTGGCCCCTCCTGGCGTCGTCCTGCCCCGCCCTCCGAGCCGCGCCCCGCCGTGGCGACGAGTACCCCCGGAGTACGCCCGAAGAGGAGGCGCCATGGCGCACCTCCGCGGGGCCGGGGCGGACCCGACCCGTGCCCCCCTCCCAGGAGGAGGAGGCGCCATGGCGCACCTCCGCGGGGCCGGAGCGGACCCGGCCCGTGCCCCCCCTCCCCGGGCCGGCACAGCTCCGTGCGGCGGGCGCGGGCCCCCCTGGAGGACCTCGGCCCGCGGCTTCTCCCGGGCCGCCCTCGCACCCGCCGCGGGGCCCAGGCACGGGCCCCTTTGGAGGCAAAGAGAGCGGGCGGAGGGAGGCGGGGTCGGAGAAAAGATCGCTCGAGACGACCCCCAGAGGAAGGCAGTGCGACCAATGCGGCTGCGCTTCGTGGGCTTTCGGGGATGGACAGACCCCCCTTTAGCAAAACGTGGTTTAGTGAAAACGACCTGAGGCCCAAACCTGGCGGGCGCAAGCCTGGAAAATAACGGCCACGGCGCCCTCTCGAAAACCGAAAACGGACAAGTCACTAATCGACGTGTCACTGTTGGGGGTTCTGTCCACCCCCGAGGCTTAGTAGGGGCGAGGAGAAGGGCGGGGGGGAGGAGCAGCAGAGGGGGGGCGGGGCTCTGGTCACACGCTTCCCCTCACGGGGGGGGGGGGGGGCGCTGACTGGGGGCAGGGCGGGCAGAGGCGGCTGCGCCGCCTGCACCGTCGGTGCTTCGCCCGACTTCCCCGGGGCTGTCCCAGCCCGACCCCCGCATTGAGCCTCCGATCCAGGCGCCCGCTTCGGCATATCAAGAGGCGGGTCCCGAAGGAGACGGGCCCAGGACCCCCTGGGGGCCCTCCCCCCAGGACCAGTTCTTCGTCCCGAGCCGTTCTCCGACGGCCTCACTCCAGCAGGGGATTGACTGCAAAATTGCTTTACCCCAAGATTGATTTTCCCGCCGAACCCCCGACACATACACAGAATGCTCACCTGATCTACGGAGAATTCCACGAACTCTCCGCACACGCGATGGGAAAATGCTGCAGCTAACCCACTCTGCAGTCGATCCTCTGCTCGACCCATCATGGCCCAGGGAGGGGCCCCGCGGGGCCCGGCGACGGCGGGGGGCCTCGGGACCCCTCTCCCTCGAGGCCCGCTCGCTCCGTGCCCGGGTGGGGTCGGAGGATCGCGCCGCCCATGCCTGGGCG